TGAGTTTTATTGATATAGTGCCAAATCATAACAACAGTGCCTAAAGATGCTTTGGGTTTTGTGGCTTCATTGGATGGGTACAGTGACGACTGACAGGAAAGCAGAGGGAGGGCGAGGGGAAAGGGCCGCGAGTCAGATTCAAACCTGGGCCCACCGCTCTCAGCCTTACGGGCGCCTGCTCATCCTACTGAGCTAAATCCGCCACCACACAATCATCCTCCAACCGCACACGCCCATATTTTGTTTTCAAACTTCATTGCAGTTTATTTCACACCTCAAACCTTTAGTAAACAATTAAACAAATAAAAGTAAACTGCAATAAATTACAGGTTGCAATAAAAAAAAAACCATCTTCATGGTGTAATTATTTTATTGTAGTTATTTGTTTGTTTTTTTGTAATAACATTCAACATTGCTATCAATGCGTTTAAAAAAAAGTCTCTCTGTGCAAAATCAGTTTAAAAACATAAACGGCTGTGGGAGACTGTTTGGAGAGCCCAGCGCTGCTCCCGACGCAGGGGAACTAATTCTGTCAGAAAGACCAGCCTCGGCACTCGTGCAGGTGAAGCCAAAGGCAAGATATGCTTCATCATATGTTCTTGTCTTTGCTTGGAACAGCGTTGGTTTAATATAAATAATAATATTGAATACTAATAATAAATAAAGCATATTTGGCGATGCTTCATCTTCTGTTTCGCGTTTGTGTGGGAGCCCCGTCAAAATTGGGAAGCACTGATATAAACTATCATTATAAATGATCATTATTAGTATCAGGTTTACTTTTCTTCAGAGCATTTCAAAGCATTTGTGAGTGAACGATCACCTCGGGCTTGTTTTGAAAGTTCCTTTGTTAACCAGCTCTGGTCCTTCTCCACAGATGATGATGAACCTGCTCACAGGGTGCTGAAGGTGTTTGTGCATTTAAAAACTGTGTGTCTGTGAACAATGTGTGCAGATCAAATGACAGTTTTGAATCAGCAGAAAAAGTTAAGTGGATATCTGTGAATGGATAAGTCTTCAGACGGTGGCTGAGTTTAGAGGAACATTTAAACCGATGTTCATGAAATTCACTAAAACTTGATTTAAGCCAAATGTGAACAAACAGGTTTGAAAAAACGCACACACACACACACACACACACACACA